TCCCCCGCACTCGCCACGGCTGCCTCGGTTGTAACCATGACCGGAACCCTTCGGCCTCCTGTCGACTCACTGGCAGCGGTGCTGAACCCTGACCTAGTGCACGCCAATTTTCTCTTCTTTAGCTCAGGTTACAATGTTCAGATCTTGGTCGAAGAGAATGAACCAGAGGACGCCCTCCTCCGGCGGTTTAGGAGGGAGGTCAGTAAGGCTGGCATCATCCAGGAGTGCAAGAGGAGGATGTTCTTCGAGAACAAGCAGGAGGAGCGGAAGAGAAAGAAGCGGGAAGCTTGCCGTCGGAATCGGAGGAGGTATTTTCTCGCTTTCTACATCTTTCCATTTGCAGTCCTGGTCGCTTTCTTGTAAATGAAGAGGAAAAAAAAGTGAGGAGTTTCAGCTTGGACGGAGAATGCGATAGATGATTGTTACCCGGCATTGAAGGAGATCAAACTAGTGCACATAACAGTATGTTGATAGTTACATAATAGTATGTTGGTAGTTCGAGAGTGGTTCTGAAATTGACTGCAATAGAAGACAAGGTAACTTAAACATTTTGTTAAAAAGGTAAGGTTTTTGACAATTTCTTCAATATTTAACAAATTGTATCATGTTAAAAACTATGTTCATATGAGCTTGACTATATTGAACTCTTTGGTAGAAGCTGAACGTCGGGTTAATATATGAGAATGGAGACATATGTTTGTTGAATAGAGAAGCTTTAAGTATTGTCGTCGTGAGCAAAATTTCATAAACTTAAAAAAACATATTTACATAAAAATACTAGAAATGCAGTATGTGAATTTGAAAAGTAGAGCAACTATTAATGATCGATGAAGTTGCAGAAGCATCTTGCAGTTTACCATAGATGTTTTCCATAATTACATAACAATAGAGCCACTGAAATCTCCTTGTAACACCTTCATTCAAAATGCAGTTTATAGACATCATAAAATTCATATTAAAGGAAGTCTCCTAAAACACATTCAATCATTTTACATATTTATTTGTAGTACGTGTTGCATCATTAACATCTTCACAAGCTTTTCATTCCATTACCTACACTTTACCCTCTTCTCATGATCCTTGTCTGAAAATGTTTATTCATAGAGTTATAATGAGCATAAACCAAGTAGAAAGCAATGAAGTTTGCATTGGAAGAGCTCATTAAAGTGAAGCAAATGATATGCAAGCCTCATGTTAATTATTCTCACTTTCATGTAAACAGGTTAATATAAGAAAGTGATCATCATAATCATACAATAGCTTGGCATGAATCGATATGTAGGAGGTGTATTCGTTTTTGATAGGGTTGTCTCCTCGACCATTTTGACATAACTATTTTTTAAGAGAAATCATGCAGCCATCCTGATTTAGCAAGATAAACATCTAACCAATTATCTATCTTCTGCTCAAGACTTATCCAATCGGTTATCTTAGGGTGTGATCGTAGTCCAATCGATTAGCCCTCTTTTTATCAACCTTTAGATTCCATCATAACAATATGCATCTATTTTCATGTATTTTCATCTTCCATATAAGTAAATCTTTTATTCATTTCATCCAACATAGTATTCATCTCCTCAAAATCTAAGTCATGAATAATGAATATTAGCATACATAAACAACGCGTACATAGAATTTTATTATTCTTTGCATATTTTTGCATATAAGCATTAATATTTAAGGCATTATTCATCTTTTATCTTCCAAGATTTGTCATATGCTAATGAAATTTAAATGAAGTCTGGTTAACTAAGAAAAACATGCTTATCCTTATTAAGGTAATGATCACACATCTAATCCATGTAAAATTCCTCAAGATTTATTTAACTCTCACAATCTCCTTATGCCTCCCCAAATGATAAAATTGTGTGCAAGCATTACTAACATAAAATCGAAATCTAGATGTTAAGTACCTCTCTTTCATATGAAGCCACCTAAACCTGATTCCACATGGTTGAATTTGATGTATCCAATCATGAATTAGAAAATTCCTTTACTTCTAAGGAAAATATCTAAAGTAAGAAAGTCAAAAATCAATTCGACCTTATCATACAATAGGACACAAATTTGTATTAACAACATTCTCAAGATCTAAACCTGAGATTATAAATATTTTAATGGTCGACTGATCGTAAGTCTTATCACACCCTGGGTTCAGAATAGGCACATCACAACAATATGGGATTTATGAAGTGGCATGAAAATCTATTTATACTCACAAAAAGAAATTTTATCGACGAGTAATATACATGGTAGGAGTAAGAAAAGAATAATAAATATTATTTCACTCTATAACTAGAATTTAATTATTGATGTAATTGACGAGACAAAATGCAAAGCAAATAGAAAAGAAAACAAAACAATAGATACTTAAACAAATTACCCAAATTCAAAAGAAATATAAATTGACCTAACATCCACATAAAATATCAAGACAAGCCTAATGCTAAAAAAATTGCTTTTGTGGTAATGTTTCATCAAGCACAGCTGCAAAAGCTACTATAAAAGAAGTTATCACGAATGAGTTTAATAACTCGAACTCTAACTTCTACTATTAAAGCATAAATATGAAGACATTGTGGCATGTAACATGAATAATGAGCACAAATAACCACATATAAGTAGGGTATTTGATATGATCTAGCTATCAAAATTAAAGTGGCATTGCATCGTTAAAAGAATGTCATATATTTCAAGAAATTTAAAGAACTATTATGCTTATCACCATATGCATGAAAGATTGTAAGCATGTGTCTCTATGCTAATATCGCATGCCACTTCATAAGGTGCATATGTTCATGTTTATAGCAGACTCATTAATTATTAATCTCTACTTGATAATATCTAAATATAAAAAATGCATATATGTATCTCTATAAATAGTTAGATTTATACGATATTCTGAAATGAAAAATATAACCACCCATCATATGAAAATTCAATAATTTTTCTCATAATTTATTAGTTCGGCTAGCAATTATTATAGGACTTAATACTAAATAAATATTATTGTAATAAATATGCACATTTCACACATCTCATATAAGTAATTACTAAGAGTATTATTACCAGTATGATCAGTATTATTTATATATTAAATCATGAAATACAACCTTAAATTTTTTTGCATTTAATAGAGTTAATGTGTATGATAGATAATTATTTAAATTTCATGAATCAATTTACTGTACATAAGTTTGTGTAGAATATTCAACTAACTAGTTATTTCATTATTAACATGAAAAGAATTCTATGACATTTGTATAATGAATAAATAAATATATAATAAAGACAAGATTGGTAATCCTACAAAATATCTTGGATTTTAATATAAATAATAATGATAACACCTCTACCAAAAAAGAATATATTTATTTCTTGATAAAAAACTATTACTTACCTTCAAATGAACATTAATAAAATATACTTTTTCTTAAGGTACCACCAACACATTTTATGGAACTCAACCTACAAATTTTACACAACACAATCCCCAATCAATTATTTGTGCAAAAATAAAGGCATTTAATCAATGTTTAACTAAGATATGTGTAACCTAGTCTACCTAATTTATTTTACAAATAACTTAAATTAATTATGAAAAATTTGAAACCTAGTTAATAGATTACATAAATATTTTTTATAAATTTACTATCAAGATAAATTTTACAAAATAATATAAACAAATTTTTTTACTAAAGCTAGGCCGTATCACAAAAAATAATTGGTAAAAATAGAAAAATTAGACAATCATACTCTCAGATTAAATTGTTTCGGATATGTGTTAATATAGATAGACATACTCTAGATATAGAAAGAGAAGGAGGAAATATGGACGAAGTAGGTTATTAAAGAAGGAGAAAAGAAAGATCAAATTCATAGAAATTTGACCAAATATAAAAGAAATGTATGGTTTCTTTCTCTCAGTAGAAAGAAAAAATAATTGAGAGAGACAACTACTCTACCAAAGGAGTTTGGTGATTATAGTAGGGCATGTGACTTGAGATGCTCTGACCTTATTTTTTATCAAATGAAGGGGAGATACGAAAAGACGGAATGAGAAATTATGAAGATATTGGCAGAGTGACATGGGCGACTTGGATGAATCGCATGAAGTGGTAGGAACTAGGTTTTCACTAAGATGGATGTTTCATAGGCCTTTTGATCGCAATGAAAAGTAGTGGAGCTAATCTAGTTTAGGGTGCTCGATTTAATTTATTACATACTACATCCTTAAAAGAATTTGTTCTCAAATTTCATACCTTAATTCTGGAACAATTGTGGGTATTTCGCCATCATTTCTTCTTCAATCTCTCAAATTGTTGCTCATTCTAATTGGTTCTTCCAAAGTTCTCTGAGAAAGGAATAGATTAACGGCAAAGTTGTTGTACTTTGTGCTCCAAATTGCATTGTGATACCTCTTCATAACTAGAATCTTCTTGGGTTAATAATGGTTTGAACTAAATAATGTGAGAATCATCATGCATGTAGGTTGTAAGAGAAAATTGTGAAAAATATTGTGTACTCTTGCCAGTATCAGAGGGAGTGTCAATCAATATTGAACTTTATTATCCTCTCAATCACTTCAAGTTGGCCAATAAAGTGAGGTTGAAGCTTTCCACTTCAATTAAAATCTTTTAATTACACAGATGAAATTTGAGAAATACATGGTCTCCAATGTGAAATATAATCTCTCCATCCTCAGTGTCAAAATATCTTTATTGATGCTTCTGAATTGAACGTAGTTATTCCTATGTTCAATGAATCTTTTAAGTGGTTTAATTAACTAGTTTAGTTCCTAAGGGTTTTCCTCACAAACATCAAATATACACAAATGAGATATGTTATTCATTTTATACAAAGCATTGTACGGTGAAATGTCAATGCTAGCTTGATGTTTATTATTATAAGAAACTCCACAATCGGGATGTAATTCAGTTATCTCTGGATTCCAAAATATAAGATCTCAATAGATCTTCTAATGCTTGAATTATAAGCTCTGACTAATTATTTATCTTATGATGAAATATAGTACTAATGTTAACTTTCAGCCAAAAGTTCTAGCACTTTTCTCCATAGCCTGGAATTACATATTTTATCTTAATCATATAAAATGACATTTGAAATCCCATATAGTCGAACAATTTTATCTATATAAATCTTTGCTAGCTTCTCTACCGAGTAATTATGTTTGATTAGCATAAATGAGTAGCTTACCTATGTATATCAACCACAATCTAAAATGCATGATCATACATTTTTCATCTCATTAAGCTAACTATGAAATTCATTGTAATCTCGTTTCACTTCTAGGTTGGAACAGGAAGAGGTTGCAACAAACTACCAAGTCTTTAATGCTATATATTTACCGTCTAATTGGTCAAATATTTGGTACAAAAAATTCATTATTCTTTATACCAGGCTATTAGAAATGCTGCTTGAGGTCTTGATATATTTGTATACTCATTGGGTGAACAAAATATGGAATAAACTATGTTTTATGGTATCTCATGTTGAAATCCATCCTTATTTAGAATGCATAACTAGTTTTTAAATCTTAATGCGCCTATTTGATCAGTAACGAAGAGTTTCAACCCATTTTTGTGTGATTGTTATTGACGTTGAAGTTAAAATGGTTTGCATGAAGGATAAAGACAAGATAAATACTGTGAAACACTTTTTGTTCACCCAGACCGTATCAAAATGTACATGCCTCCAAAAGCTTTTTTGGTGGCATCGTATGAATAATGATTTGACAATTTTTATAGCCAAGTTTTGACTTGTCAAATGGTCTAGCTGGAACATTAGAGATCTAGTAGTTTGGTGCAATCTCTTCCTATCCGAGAACGGAAATTGGAGGAGATTGCAATGGATTTTATAATCTGGTTAAAAATATTTGGAAAAGGTACCCAAATAACTTAGTGACATATTATAATTAAAGTACATGATCTATATTCACTTTCATGAAATGAAACTTTATGATATTCAATGATTTCATAAGTTTCACTAGCAAAATCTTATTATTAAAATTTATAAAAAAAATGCATTTTGTAAGATTTTAAAGGAGGTATGCTCCAATCTATAATGATGGTCCTAAATGATATCTTTATTTAAAGTAGATATGAATAAACATAATAATTTGTTATTATCTTCAAGTAGATATAACTCATCTTTTTCTCTTGTTTGTCCAATCATTTTCTTCATAATAAGTTCTGAAATGTACAATGATTAGTAAAAAAATTGTCGCTTTATAATTGTGGTCATTGATAAGTTTTTGAATAACAAAAAATTTTTGCAAGGTTAGTGACATATAGCACATTTTACGAGTAAATGCAGGAGAGAAATATGGATTTTCTCTTAACCTACAATAATAATCAAGGAGCTATCATTACCCTTTATTTTACTGTTGATAGGATAAAGTTTGCATGTTTGGAAAGTGTTGACATGATTTTTCATGTGATTGGTGGCTGTTGAATCGGTTATCTAAGTTATTGTGGAGCTATTTGAGACATTAAACTTACAAGAATTTATATCATTTTGAGCTAGTGAGAACAGTCTGAAAGATTTTTTTTGGTAAATTGAGGAAGTTCCAATGCTTGTCAATTTCTTCTTGGTTGAGCTCTTTTGGTTCAATGAGATATGCATTCCCTTTAGATTTGCGTTCTTTATTTCCATCATGACCATGGAGCTTCCAATATTTCTTTTTGATATACCATATCATTTTTTCTTACAGTAATTACACTATAGGTTGCTTCTGTAAAAAAAATATTTATTCATCTTTTGGGAAGATCCGGTTTTAATAAGTATTTTGAGTTTTTGTAATTGTCATGGCCGACATTTTAGAGTTGAATTTGGCAAGCATTACCATTATTCTCTTCTTTGATTCATATGAATGAGAAGGCCTCATTTATGGATGGTCGATTTACTCTGCTTAAGATTTGAATGCGAGTTTTACCAAATTTGATATTGTCTCGCAAGAAATTAGAAAACTCCTCTATATGCATATTATTTAATATCCACAATATCATCAGTACATATCATTATTAGATCTTGGTAGTAGTTTAGCTGTCTAATAATTCTTTGTTATATTAAAATATCTTACTTGATTGCTGACAGTCGTCTTAATTTTTTAGATAATAATGAACTTCTGAATTAAATTTACTGGCCTGGTTTCCAAATTTTTTTTAGTTCTCAGGAACACATGTGATTCAAAGGAGAATCAATAAGATATTTTTCTTCTAGAAATGTCTTCATAATCTCAGACTAGTTCAAGTTGTTTCTTCCATTCAAATGATACAAAATTTATTGGCACTAAAATTTTCCTTTAATAAAATTTATTTGATTTTATCGTTTATGTAGTTGACCCTTTGAGTGCAAAGTCAAAATAACCTAACATGATGAGGAGAATAAGAATGAAAGTGCTAAAAAAATATACTTTGCTCTGATATTATATTGAAAAGAGAAACTGGATAAAAAATTTGCTTTGTTCATTCATTGACCCAATAGATATTTATACACATGAAATGATCTTAGATTCGACTTATGTTAAGAAAGGCAAAGGTAGACCTAGGAAGACTTGGGCTTATTGTATACAAAATGATCTTATTTTATTAGAACTAAATGAAAATATGATACTAAATAGGATGCAATGGAGAAAAAGATTCATTTAGCCGACCCCACGTAGTGGGATTAAGGTTTTGTTGTTGTTGTTGTTGTGGTCATCAGCTGGAGAAAGGAGCAATCTATGGCATTACCCTTTTCACATTAAGCTCATGAATCCAAGTCACATATTTTTTCCTACCTATCACTTGAATCAATGACTCTTTTTATGTCTTAATTAGCAATTTTAAGGCTGTCAATTCTGCCAACTCTTAGATACCATTCAGCATTAGCATAAGACAATATCCAGATCTTCAACAAAAAAAAAGAATTTAGGCCAGCTAAAAAATATAAAGTAAAGAGATTTTTAAAGCATCTCCAACAAAATAATTCGTAAATATTGAAAACCTTTCAAGGGCACCATCCCAAACCCTCGACACAGGGACTCTAACACTTGCAATGACTTTACTATAAAAATCAACTCAAAACAATATCTACATAGCACATTTTTTAGGACAAAATTAAGCTCCATAACGCAAACACTTACCACATTAATTATTCATGAATTTCCTCATCTGAAGTTTGTAAATCTCTTTGTTTGTTACTTTTTAAATAAAATTTTACAATCGTATTTTCAACCATGTTTGATGATATTCTCATTAACAATTATCCCCCAGCTTACCACATTTTGCTTCCTGTTAGATTACTGATAACTTTATACCTTGTCACATCTGACAGGCGATTTTCAGGACCTAGGGTTAGGCCATCTTCATCCCAGGAAGAAAATAGTGTAACTAAGAAGGCCGGCGATGACTCGGATGATAACTGGGAGTACTATGATGCCGACTTCCCTTAGGTTAACAAGAAAATTTTGTCTGCACATTCTTTCAGTCTGAAATGCGAGCATTTAAAGTTGTATCCATCTTCATCAGCAACAACAACTTTAATTTTAATGGTATGCATTAGCATTTTGGTCCCTTTCTTACCCTCTCCGATAATCTGATTTTATTTTGTACAGCCATTTCTGAAGTTGATAGGTAAAATGCAAACTATGTTTATTGGTTAATCTTTACTTTTTTGGGGCATTTATATACATACCACACAATTCTTTTGTATTTGCATATCTAGAGCTTAAACTTTCATATTTACTTGCATTCCACTCAAATCTTGAAGACACATCAAAATAACCACAATCACTTCTTTTTTAAAGTGAGATGCATATTTGTGTTATAAGTAAATGTCAAACTTTGAGTGTTAGGTATGCAAAATATTTAACTTTTTGGTATTTATGTAAGTTTCCATACTTTTTAATGTCATATTATAGCTTTTGAATTCTCAAAATATAAGAATGTTTCATGTGGCTGAATCATTATTAACAAGACTTTCAGGCCATGTTATTAACTGAATTGGAGTGGCGACCATAGTGCACAAATCTTTTTTAGTATTAGAAAATGTTATCTATTTTGTAACTTCAATCCCTTTGGAAGGAAAACACTTTCAATTATATTTAGTACAATGCATTATTAATGAATTTCTAAACGATGCGTACTTACACGATCTGAATGCCTAAACTTCATTTTTAACATATCTGCCCCTTTACCTTTGCATGAAAATGTGCATTTTACTTTTTTTAAGTTAAAATAGTGACGTTTTTAATGTGCTGTGAAAGATTTAGGTGGTATAAATGTCAAAAGCAAAGTTAATGTTTTAGATATGTAAATACATAGGAATTAGGTGTTATGAATGTAAATGTTCCTATATATATTAGATAATTGAAAACAAGAATATTTATTTTACTTTCTAGCCATAGAAGCCTTTGTCTTTCTATAGCTTCAGCACCTTTAGAAGGAATCACATTGGTTTTTTTTATCATTTCAGTCTGAGAACATTTTAATATATAGCAGTCAATATTAATAGACATTATAAAACCTTAGGCTACCAGAATACAAGACAAAATAGCTAAAAAAAATTGAGGAAAATGCTGTGGCCAGCATCTAAAATGTTCCAAAATGCCTTTTTAATGCATTCAACTTTCTGCACTTCACACCATTATGATGGCACGCCATAGAAGTTAATAGTTCGTCTTGAGTTTTGGCCATAAACTATATCAAACTAAGATTTATTAGCAGTTCTAGATGTTGTTTTCTTATAAATAAATTCAATTATAGATAAATATGTATTTTAATTTTTAAACTTTTGTCTATTATACATCTAAGCCTATTTTCAAAAATGTGATAGGCTTATTCAATTTAGCCATCAGTTGGGGTTGATGGCAAAAGAAATATTTCAGTTTAATTTCAATCAATCAATGATTGTGCCAATAATAGTGCTAAACTCCTTGATAAACCTCCAATAAAAGATAGCTATACCATTGAAACTCCTAACTTTGTTAAAATGTTCAGATGATGACTAGTATGGGATTTATCTAATTTTGGAAGGATTATGTTTAATTCTAATAGTGGATATACTATATTCTAAAGAACTCACCTTACTTATCATTCTAAAAAAATTAACTTATTTATTATTCTAAAAAAATTACGTTAGTTCGTACCAAAAAAATTTTTTTTTTTTTCATATTGATGCTATTTAAAAATTTTGTTGCATATGTTACAAGTGCTCCTTTTCATTATGACTATTGAAATCATTATTTTATAAAAATGTCCCACAAAATTTTCTTGTGTAGGATTAGCAAACATCATTTGTTAAATCTCATAAATGTGTTTAGGGAATATCAACTCTAAAAAAGAACTAGTTTAACACACATATTCTTAGGCACAGAGTTTTGAATACAAGAAAAAATATGCCTAAAACTATCAATTCTCAATTTTTTTACAAAAGAAAATTCTTACAAGCTTTTAAAATAAACTACTAGTGTTCACCATATGAAATTAACAAAGTAAAGTGATTAAACTTCCAATTTTTCACTATTGGTGGCATTTGTTTGACATAAAGAGAAAAGCTACTATTTATGGTGGAGCTGAATGGTTAGAATTTTATATTATCATCTAAGGCTTGAGAGCAATATACTTCATTTTCAAGTTATTCATATGAATATGAACTATCATAATGAAATGAATTACAAACCTTAAAAAAGCCAAGCCTAATCTATTTTCGATTAGTTTGATTGATTTAAAATATCTCTTTCAACAATGGGTTTAGAAGTTACCCAAATGGGAGGATAAGATGATGTATGGTTAGTTTAAGATGTTAACGTATGATCTGAACTTGTAGAGTTTTAAGGTCTTCAGTGGGTTGGAGAAGAAGACTAGATCTCTTACTTATCAAACGAATCGAACATTGACGAACCGAACACGAACTGTTCGCGAACAAGGAGCTTTTTTGACCGCCCTAACCGCGCCGTTACTACGCCCTAACCGCGACATTATTCCCGCATTTCGCATTGGCACACCAGTCTTTCCACTCCTGCCCTCGCTAACCCCATCGTCCCCCTAGCTTTTCGATCGACCGCGCCTACCCGTCGCTCCCCTATTTCGCCGAGAAGATGCTATCCTCTGGTAAAAAAAATCTCCCTCCCTCTTCTCCTCCCTCCCTCCCTCCCTCCCCTCCTCTTCTCTCCTCTCTTCCCTCTCCTCCCACATTGCCGAAAACCCTTATTTCGCCGAGAAGGTGCTCTCCTCTGGTAAAAAGATCTGTGGCATTTTTGACTACTTATCTTGCAAATGTTTGTTTATGCCGAGAAGGTGCCCTTCTGTGTCTCTGTATTTCTGTTACAACCGGTTATTGATGAGATGGTGAATGTTGGCAGTGTTGGCTAGGTCTGTTTGTCTTACAGATGTGCTGGAAAGGGGTTTCTCTTTTTCGATGTGCTGATTTTTGGTCATTGGTGAACTTTTTTGTCCACAAATTTTACTTTTGTTGTAATTACAGATTTATCAAATCCAGATCCCCTTGAATTCAGTTTAATCCATTTCACATGTTTGGCATTTTAATTCAGGATTTAACAACAATTAATTTTCAAAGAACTTAAATATGAAGTGCACCATAACTTTTATTGAGGCTCCTGTTTGTTCCCATCCGCCATGCTAGCATGAGTGCCCCAGATATGATTGGCTGCTAATGAAAATTCTTACATATAAAATCCACACATTAATCCACACATTAAGGATAAATTTTGATGAGTTATGAAAAAAATGGGAGTAAAATTTCATTTTGTAGATGCGAAAATGTATGAACCTCTGATTCATATATACATATGCAGTTGTATGAAAATTCTTAATTATCTCGTTTTTTTATATCTTGAAATATAAATGGTTGTATTTTGTATAAATTTGAGATATCATCGGAGTAATGTGAAATCTAGGTCTTTCAGTTAAAGTTTAGGTTAGATTTCATTTTATCGGAAGGATGGGAAAAGTGCAGCTCTTTGAGAAGTTGTGGTTAACTCTTTGATTGGTATCGCACATGATTGGCATTTTGTCTTGCCTGAGTTTCAATGTACTCTAATAATGGTGATGTATTGAGGATTGATTGTATATCTTCTAGCAACCCTACTACATTTTTTTATACAATATTAGTTATTCTTTTCAATTTCCACTATCTTTATTATTTCATCAAATTTTTTGGCTGACATTTTCTCTCTTGAATAGTACTAATTTCATGCTAGTCTGTTTATCTCAAAGTCAAAATGAGTAAACTTAAAGAGGTCGGATCTTCGGCCATGTGGGATGGAGAGGCCACTAATATATTTTGTGATCTCTGTCTGAGGGAGGTCGAGCTGGATAATAGGCTGACTACCTATTTTAATAAAAAAAGGTTGGAAGAATCTTATGACTAAATTCAAGGAACTGATCGGAAGGGATTACGATCGGATGAAACTCAAAAATAAGTGGGATCAATTGAAAAAGAAATGTAAAATTTGGAAAGAACTCAAAAGGGGATCAACGGGATTGGGTTGAGATCCACTGAAGCGAACAATTGTGCATCAGATGATTGGTGGGCTGAGAAATTAGAGGTAAATACGTACCTAAATTTACTTATTGCATATATCTTCACATTGAAATGATTTTACTTATAATTTTTTTTTTGTATTACAGGCAGTGTCGGCAGCCAAAAAATTCAAATTAAGTGCCATTGATCTAGTTTTGGAGAGGTTGGATGACATGTTCACTGACGTAATATGGAAACCGAGCATATAAGTGAGTCAGAAGAAGGTCCCAGCCAAATCCACACAGATATTCAATCCACTGGCGGGACAAAACGTTCCAAAGTGGAAAAAAAAAGAAAAAGGCTTCGCATTCGTCAGAGGTACCATAGAGACACTGCTTGAAACCTGCAAAGCAAAGGTTGCACTGGCAAAGGACAACTCAATTCAGGAGCGTATTTAGCTCCTCCAAACTGGAAAAAAAAGAAAAAGGCTTCGCATTCGTCAGAGGTACCATAGAGACACTGCTTGAAACCTGCAAAGCAAAGGTTGCACTGGCAAAGGACAACTCAATTCAGGAGCGTATTTAGCTCCTTAATATATATCCTGGTGTTAAAGAAGACGAAGTTATGTATTTAAAGTATGTGAAGTTGCTAGGGAAGTCAACTCGCAGACAGTTTTTTTGTGAATTTGGACCCAAAATTTCAACTCGCTTATTTGCGATCTTTCATGAATGCTTGATTGCTTCTGACATTATGTTTTATTTTACTATCGATCTTTGTAATATTTATGTGATGGATTCTTTTTTATTTTATTTTCATGGAGGCACATTCAGGTGTCTTTTATTCTATTATGTACTGATTTTTACATTCACCTTGCTACCATCTATGTATCGTTGCAATTGTCTCAAGTTATTGTTTATCTTGTTTAAAAAGATATCATTTTTTCAGATTTTGTAGAATGGACGAAGAACAAGTTAACCACAACCGCAAAGTCGCTCTCATCCTTACCTTGCTATACCATTATTACCATACATACATTGATTGAACCCCATGTATGACGTTGAGTCATATTGGAGATATATGGGTCGGTGAGCGCGGCCACCCTACACGGTTTACGAACATGTTCCATATGACGAAAAAGATATTTCTTGACCTGCTTAATGACTCCGGAACCTTCATGGATTGCACGACTCAACAAG